AACTGTTACAATGAAGGCTCGATAATCAGCTCACGGCATATAGGTTAAGCAGGGGTAAAGTGCTATTTTATAGGTGGTGTGTGGACCTCACATAGGGGGGTCCAGGGGCAAGCTCCCCCGGGAAGATTTTTAAATATTGAAGTTAAAAGCATCAATCTGAAAAAAATATATATATATTTTAAATAACCATTTTTCCTCCTGGTCTCTCGCGCCCCCCCTGTCATGCCTCTAAGCCCCCCTGGGGGGGCGCGCCCCCCACTTTGAGAACCACTGGCCTAATCCAAAACATACGCGCTCTCGCTAAACTGTACTACGACGCGGGTTATCAAGTGGATCGCTCAAGCCAGCCGTATCCTATCTAGTTAGGTGCGCGTTCACATGAAAGGGGTGGTATTTGGAGCATTCGACCAATCACAAACATGGAGAAGCATACTGACAGCGCAGCATCATACTTCCTGAATGAAAAGTCAACTATAATATTAGACATATGAAGAAGTTAAACTTTAAACATCCATGACTTAAACGCTTTATCCAGGATAAAAGCCATATAGTTGCACCTGCAAGGTGAATACAGCTGGTAAAAGAAAAAGTGTTTGAATGCGTACATTAACAGGTCTACGATATCACTGCCCCGTCACAGTGCCGCGGACTGTAGGCAACGTAATGTTACTTTGATCCGGTTACTTATGTTGTGGCAGATATTTAATTAAGCTTTCTTAACATAATAGTAGGCTATAATAGTTATAATAGTCAGATTGCTCTGAAGATGGGAGGTGATATTCTATTCATTTTCACGTTCACAGAGTCTGTGATTTTGGCCGGCCGTCTTTCCTGCAACGGCAGTTTAAACTGTATTTCCTCCGCACACTGAGCTCTGATTGGTCAGCAGGCGTGGTGCTTTCGCTGAGTTGATCTCTTATCCTGGAACCCATCCTGCTTCGGAGCACAGTCTAGGTTCCAGGATAAATCACCATGGACATCTAACCCGCTAAAAAGTGAACCAGCTTCGTAGTACCGGAAATCCCAGAAGTTATCTTGCTAAACGAAAATCCTGCTTTGTAGTATACCCCCCAGGTTAGCCGCACAGCATAAGTTACCATGGAGATCTAGCCTGCTAAAAAGAGAACCAGCTTCGTAGGACCGGAAACCCCGAGTTTTCCCTGAAGTTAGCCGGCTAAGCGAAAATCCTGCTTCGTAGTATACCCCCCTGGTGCCCAATTAACCCAGTGCCCAAAGATGCATTAAAAAAAGAAGCATAAAACTACTTTAACTTACTTAAATAATATGAATTAATACAAAATTACAAAAAACAACAAGAAAATAAATGTTTAACTATTCAATAATATAAATCAAAAATATAGCTCCAACATATTCTTCAAGGGATGGTTCAAGCTACTGTGTTGTAGAGTAATTCAGTCAGAGGCCAAATTAGCAGAGGATTACAGATTTTAACTCATCTTTCCTTTTTTACATTTTTGAAATATTCCAATTTCCAATCACAGTAGTGTGTACTTTTGATTACTTGCTCTTCTCTAGGTCCATATTTCACATCTTGTTCAGGCATTGGATTGAATCATAACGTTTTGTGTTGCTTCAATAATGTCAGGATGATCTTGAATGTCGCAAACCACCAATTTACTTCGAACTCAACATGTAGTATTTTCTCAGAAAGTCCCAAGTCTAACACTACACAACTAAAAATAAACATTATGATTGACACATTTTCACTTGAGATTATTAATGACTGGATGAACATCTGGTAACCTTTTATAAAATTCAATGGCAATATAACTGAATATGTATAATACAAATATTTGATTGAAGTATCCACCTATAGGTCTTTTAACACAGTGTGATTTGTGTTTATATAAATATGTATTAATTTTATTCTAACATGGTGCAATTGTCACGAAACTCCCCACTTGGATTAATAAGTATTGTGATTGATTGATTGATTGATTGATATGATATCGATATAAATATATACATAAACATCGATATATGTAAATGTAGGGAGATGAATACATTGCAAATGATCAGTGCAGGAATCTCTCTCTCTCTCTCTCTCTCTCTCTCTCTCTCTCTCTCTCTCTCTCTCTCTCTCTCTCTCTCTCTCTCTCTCTCTCTCTCTCTCTTTCTCTCTCTCTGTGTGGGTGTCTCTCTCCCAGAGCTGCTTTCTCCTGCCCCCCCTCCCTGATTCCTCCACCGGCAGCGTTGCAGATGGAATACACTGAAGCTAACGTCAGACTCCGCAGAGTTAATTGTAGTAATTAATGTCATACTTCTGTTTAATTTGCGAGGATGGTGTCGCCCACTGAAGCCGGGTAATCAGACTCAGAGGCCGGAGCGGCAGGGAAGGCTATATCTGCCTGGAGTTCAAGCAAGGACTCCTTGGTTAAATATTGGCCTCCGTGCAGGATTCTATTGGGCCAATTGTGGATATTTCAGGGCGTATTTGAACCGGATTCTCTCGGCAGTGGAGGTGGCTTTTGGTGGGTTCGGTTCTTGATGCCCGGAGGGCCAGAGGATCCAACATTAAGCAGCCCAGACTGCGGAGCCCCGGAGTAGGGCTCGAACACCGGGGAGTACAGAAGGTATGTTGGCTCTGCGAAAAACAACCTTTCTGTTCATCTTGTCCGTGTGTGAAACACCGTTTTAATACGTTTAATTAACGGGATGGTTAAACCACCGACCAGGCTGCTCAACATCGATCCACATGTTGTTTAATGTTTTGTGTTGGAGGAAGAATATATCTGGTGGCTAACTGTTAGCCTCGTAGCATTCCATTGTCACAGCCCGTTGGAGCTAGCTATGCTAACAGACTGGCTTGCTGTGAAATAGGAATTCATTCTAACGTTACATTTCACACACACTATCCTTCGTTTGTTTTCTCGTTTCTTGGTTGGTTCAATATATGTCTGTGGACTACTGTATGGTGTTTTAGACGCGTCGGATTGCTTTCGTCTTGTTAGCATCTTATGCTAACAGCGGTGTTACCCCATAAAGCAAGGAGAAGCTTCATTAGCAAGTTAGCATTAGCTTCGTTACCTGGTTGCAACACTACAAGGAATCTCAAAATGTCTCCTCTGACTCTGTCATTTTGTCAGAGCAGTTCACTTCACAAAAATAGAAAACACGAGGACGTGACCCGGAAAACTCTCCAGTTTATTTCGTTTTATTGTTTTAATTCAGCCATAACATTATAGCGTGCGCGTGCGTGTGTAGCATTCACACGGCTCATGGTAGGAGGGGTTGTTAGGTTGAGAACCAGACACACCGTGAAAACAGTAAGTTTACACATTTTAACCACTTTACAACAGTGTTTAAAGGACATTTACACGTCCAAAAGAATCAGCTGTTCTATTAATGGATTTTTATTTACTTCAACAATAACAAATTGAACAACCCATTAACAATATTTGCTAATTACGAAACACAATGTGTTAATATATTGTTAATGTTGGAAACAATTTAGCAAATGACACTGGAGCCGAGAAATCAGGATGGTGTGATGGAGAAGACGCTCATGTTCATAAAAACAAATAGCCCATCTTTATTTGGGGTATTGATAAAACATTTTTGGGGATTGGCTAATAGAATAGCTAATTCCTGCTTTACCACTTATTTAGAACCATTGAATTAAAGATATGTGTATTGTCCCCCTTTTTCCGAAGTTGTTAATTGTAATGCCACAGAAGCTTCTTTTATTAAAGGGTTTGTTAATAATCTATGAAACATGCATAACAAATTGAAGTAATGTTCAGTACTGAGTCCTGGTTAGCAGATTAATTAAGACAAGTCTCAAATAGTTTTGTGATTACTATTAGAGACGGTATAGTTAGTATTAGGGCTATAACAAATGTAATATATGTTTTGCATTCAAAACCTAATGCAACAAAAAGTTGTGTTTGGCTCAAATGTTGTTATGGTAGTATGCATTAGAGGTGCCTTTTTAGTGCTTTTACAAACATGTTTACTTAATGAGACCTTTGATAAATAATTATCAGTATTGTGAATAGCATGTCTAAGTGCAGCGTTTAAAATCCGGAGAATACACCTATATTATTTCACAATATCCAAAATCTAAACAATATCTATTATCATATGATATCGATAAAATATTGATATATTGCCCAGTCCCAGCCGAGCATTTTGGATATTCATTTTAAATGTGAACTTCAACATTGTAAATAAAGTTTTCAAACTACTTAGTACAGCCCTAGTAAGTATAGTTCTTTACAGTACAGAGCAAATTCTCCATCCTTTTTGTTTAAATGTAAATGTAATTCCTTTATGTGATTGTGCACTACTTTCTTCACTTTCAGTACTTTTAAAATGTATCTCTCCACAGTATATTTGATCATTAGTATGATTGGTGCTCGAGTGCGTGTCAGTTACTTATTGTTGCACATCTTACGTAAAGAACGTGACTGAAAGTATTCAGTATGTCAGCGAAAGGAGTTCACAGAATATTTCCTGTTGTCCTCCACTTATATTTTTGTCTCATAGTGAACGCCAAGCCAAAGTCCATTCACAAATCTGGCAATTAAATGTGACCTTTATCAGCAGCAACACGCCCAGTAAAAGTGATTCTAGACATGTTTGGTATTTGTCGGTCAGTTGTTCTTTTCAATGACAAAAACAGACTTTAAGATAAAGACCGTTCCTTTCACTGATTGAAAACACCAGAAGAGTCATTCAGCTGAAGAAAGTAAATGGTGACGTTTATTGGCTATCTGTAAGCTGCTTTACTGTTTGTGTACGGCCAACAATGTCTTATTAGAGGCATCACTCTGGATTGTTACAAGTTGTGAAAGAGACACTGGTATCGTATTCAGCTTGTGAGTATGCATGTGTCTTAATAGCAAAATATGCTCTTGTAATCACCTACCATTGTAAGAATTACCACAGAGGTCGTTGTGACTATTTTCCAGATGTTTAGACATTCTTTTAGGGTTATGTTCTGACCACCAGATTATGTTCTGATTACAAGATCCATGTCCGTTAGCTGCTTCTGTTTCGGTGAAGAAGCCGATTCAGAGCACAGGATGAATCAAATGTCATTGTTAATAAAAGAAAATAAGATTAAATAAGGCTGCAGATTCTAAAATCTAACTTTTTTAAAATTCCACTTGCAGGTGAGGAGCAGAGAAAGCACTAATACTCTTCAGTAAAAGTATAACACTGCAGCATTGTGAGATCTTTTATGTAAGGCTTTATCACCACCATAGTTTCGGTTTGTCGCACAGGTTTAATTCAGAAGAAAGCTAAAATATTGGTTTGATGATGAAGGGGATGATGCTTCATGACACATGGAGTGTTGAATCATCCTCAACCTGAGTGAGTCATCTTTTGCTGCTGGTTTGTTATACATTTTTTAACAGATTTAGTTTTAAATAGTTACGTTTTTATTCAAGTATAGCTGTTTTACTCTTTGGAAAATCTCTTATCTATTTACTTAGATGTCTATTTAGTATACTAAATTATATTCTAAGAATGGTTTTATACGGGTGCTTAAAAACACATGACATTTCATGTGGTATTACATTTTCCAACATCTGTTCGGTGATGGAAAAGCTTAGATGGCCTAAATTCGGCTTTGAAATATCCACTTTTTTCGCTAACTGTGTTTGCGTTATACCTTTTCTCTGAAAACGGCATCATGAGCGCTGAGAGTAAATAGGCCAGCACTTTTACGTTATATTAGCCTTGCACGTCTTCAACAATGTATATGAAAATAAAAAACATATCTGAAATACCTGATCCCCTCATAGAAAATGCCGCTCTTTACTAAATCAAGCACACCTATACTTATAGCCAGACACAGCCAGTGTTTGAAATGTTACTCCGCTCTGCGACCAGCTCAGTCAGTGGGCTTGGTGAGAGTGTCCATCAATTGGACCTGGCTGCAGAGGAGTCTGCAACAAACCGACCCTCTTCGAAACCCAGAGCCCTTTTTGTTAACCATGTTGTGAGGGTGTTTGCCTAGGATCAATTGCATACATCAAATGTTGTTTATGATGCCGTGGCAGCTGCTCTCCTCAGTGCAGACGTCTGACGAAATGCCCGTGAAATCGACACACTAGATAATTCGGACATCCGTGATGCCGTGTAATGCTGCCAGAGCGCACCGGAATGCCGCTCTGGCATTTCAAACATTGCACTACCCATAAGGAGCCGTACACATGTAGCAATGCCGCAGTTTTTGCCTGGCTGTGTCTTTAGTTGAAAGCCAAGTGGCGATCTGTCATACTGATCATACAATAAAGCCATCATTCTACTAACCCCCGTGGCCCAAGCGAACCCCTGTGTTTTCTTTCCTCTTGTAGGAGGAAATATCCAGAATGATTTCCAGATTGTCACTTAAATGTTTGTTGTCTGTTCTTCATATGTTTATGTCAGCTGTTAGTTTTGAAAGCATAGATTTTTATAATTAATCAGAAGATGTGTCTGTTAGTCTGAGTATTTGTTGAGTCCGGGTTGTGTTGTTTGGTCTTCAGATTCCAATCACCGCTGTCTGCATACAGTGCAGTGTTTGTTATCATGTGACATACTGCATGTGTTTTAATGTGTGTGTGTGTTACCGTGTAAGTAATGCTGTCCTGCTTCCTCTCAGGTGACTCGTCCCGGTGTCAGACTCAAACACTGAAGCGTTTTAATTTCACAATGTTTCAACAGGAAACTCTGGTCAAACTTTCACGTATTATTGATCACATCCTAGATTTGATCAGAAGCAAACTCTCGACCGAGTCAGAGTCACGGATAATGTTGTTAAAAGAAACAAACAAACTACTGAAAGTGGAGAAAGTGCACACTACTTCAATACTGCACTCGCATATGAGTGTTGCATAGTGATGTCATTATGTTACAGAAGCAGGAGTCCAATAGAAGCGTTTCAGGCGGGGGAGTGTGATAGAGAAATAGTGGAGATTTTAGCCTTTGCAGACCATTGACATGTACACAAACCTATACAACACACTACAGTAAAAGCAAACCCACAAAAGCTGAATATGGCCTCTTATAAAAATAAGTCGGAAGCGGTTAAACTAGTGTGTAAAAGCGGCTGATAAACTATTCCAGATTGTTGGTCGCCTCACAGGCAGTCTATGAACGCTGAATGTTATAAGTATTACACTACTGACAATCATTTCAACGACACATTTATATCATAATGGAGTCACTTCATATGTTACAGGCTGTCCGCGGGGTCTTAAAAAGTATTAAAAGTTGATCAATTTAGCGAAAATGAAGGCTATTAAAAAGTATTAAGCAGCATTTTCCAAGGTATTACATGTTGTAGCTTGTTTTCAATAAGTATATAAATTGTCCAAAGAGGTTGTATTCTACAGTCTGCCTGAATGTAATCATTGCGTAGGTGTGTAGTGTGATTCTGTGTAGTTTATTTATGACATCCCGTTGGATGTGACGTCATCTAAACAGGACATCGCACGCTCACGGCTTGATGGCGTGCGTTTACGCCGGTTGTTAAACAACATCGTTATGGGGGAATTTAAGTTTGCGTCCAAATGGTTGGAAGATAAGAAGGAAGGGACAATCAATACTGTATATAGTCATTGTGAGGTAAAGTGTGTCGTCAATGTAACCGGTTAAAACTCAAAGTGGCGATGAGGTCTTAAAATGTATGGAAAGGGTCTTAGAAAAGGTCTTAAAAGGTGTTACATTTGACTTCAGGATTCCTGCATATACCCTGATTTACTATGAATTGCTTATAAAATAAAAGTGAAAAGAACAAATTCATCAAGAACCAAAACTGGAGTCAGAAGTGATCAGATCTCACTAACATGTGAACCTCCTTCTGGGAGTTCAATAGCGATAGATGTATTCTGAAGTCCCAGTATCAAAAATACTCAGTAAGAGCTTACAGTCTTGCATTTAAATTGTAACTTCAGCTATAGTATTGAAGACTGAAAGGATTCATAGTTGACATTTTCATTATGCAGAATGAGCCATGTCAGTGTCGCTATTATTGGATCATTTTTACCCATGCATTAAATGTAGAGGGTGGTCAATAACCAAATCAAATG